TTTCTTGATGTCTCTAGCAAGAAGGTGCTTAGCTACAATAAAACAGCCTATGGACTGAGAGGAGTTATGTGCATTTCCAGCTGCTGAGAAACCCGGCCAAGGACTTTTCCCATATATGGGCGAACTTCTAATTTAAATGAGTACTATTAACCCTAGTTGTCTTCTGGTTGGTTTTTAGTTTAAAATTAACTGAACAGGTGACCGATTTTTTTCTCAGAGTGGGTTCCAAAAGGATCCAGGGGACAAGAGACTGTGGTGAGACTTGGCAGGTAGGAGGGCTGCCCCTGTAAAGCCTGCTCACTCCAACTACAGAATGCTCTCTCATGCTTATACTATTACCATCTCAAGGCTATTTTCAGATCTAAGCCTTCACTCAACCAAAAAAGATGTAGAGCAAAACCAAAGAATATCAGGTCATGCCAAGGTACATGTAGAAAGGGTAGAGAGGATGTATGAAGCACCTAGACTTACATGCTCAGGGATGATCAGATTTCTACTGTCCTTTCTATTCTTTTCTGTTCTATTTGATCAAACTTTGCCAAAATCAACAAAACTGTTTTTAGTACAGGTGCCTTTGTTCCCAGAAATGGCCTGAATGAAACCTGGGATTATGAATTCTTTCCCAGAGTCATAGTGAACCTATGGTCTATACAGTGGGTAATCCCTTTATTATTTATTTTTTCTTGTTCTGTTTGCTGTTATTAGTTTCCCCTATCCAGCTTTGATACTGCTGTTCTAATATGTTGCTCTCCTTACCCCATGGTATGATAAAGGGGCAATACACATTACAGATGGATTTTGCAAATGGGACTTTGATTGGTAATGTGTCTTGGAAGGTCCAGTCCAAATGATATCTGTGATTTAGTATTACGAATGCTTCATTGAGGGGCTGCCAGCCTCAATAGAGTATAGTTGAAATTTGGCATCAAGGCTGAAACAAAAAAGCCTCGGAAACCTGCAAGTTGCCTTCCATGCAAGCCCTTCAGGCACATTCAGATGTAGAATATAACTATGAACAACGAAGTAATGAAAAAAATGGCCCCAGTTTCTCTGTTTTTTTAAAACTTGAATCTCAGCCCAAGAGCATAAATAGGTCCTTTCAGGTTTATAGACCTAGAAAGAGATCCTGGGCACTGTTTTGGTAAACCTGGACTAATTGATAGCTTAGTATAAAAAATACTTAAAATCTGTGGTTTTGCACAGTTCCAATGTGAAAGCTGATGAAACTTGTTAAAAGGGAAAGGTGACTGGTGGTTAATCACATACCTGAGAAGCAAGTGATGAGAGTCCCTCTTAGGGAGTTTTTTCGGGACAAGTCATGTCACATCTTTGTGTATCAGTTTTTCCATCAGTAATGACAGGTTGGGAGGACTTATCTCCCCTACTTGCCTGCCTTATTTGCAAAATAGGTTGAAAATACTTGGGAGTGGTGTAATAAGTGTTAAAATAGCTTAATTCAAAGCCATTTAAAGTTTCTGTCTTTGGAGGGGTAGGAAACCTTACCTTTTCTTCAGCGAAGAGGAGACAGCTGACCTAATAGTTTGTGTCCTATATATAGTGATCCATCAACACCAGGATCAATTTCCTGAAGGTCACTAGCTCTTTTAAATCCTGCCATTCTCTTTGAATTCAGATAGTGAGGATTTGGCTTCTCTCTTCTTCACCTGCATTTTTCCTTCTTTCTCTCCTGATAAACACAAGCATTGCAGCTTTAAGATTTTAAGACCTTTCCCAGATGGAAAAGGTCATTTGTCTTTCGCTACTCAACACTTCCTTCATGAGTTCATTTAAACATTGCCAGACATCAGAAGAACAGAACTCAGCTGTAGGGTTATCTATGTCTTATTCCCCTTTTGTGTAGGTGGTAAAACTGATCTAGAACAAAACTGTTTGGTTCCCATAGCAATTTACAACAAGTAGCGACCATAATACTGTACTCTTCCCACTCCTTATCTACACCTGCTATTTCTTCCTTTGCCACCCAGTTAAGAGCTGTAATGCTGACATTATTTTAAATGGCATTAAGGCAGGTTGTTACCCAAGTTTCATGCAGTTTCTCACTGCTTTCGGTAAGGACAAGATGTACTTTTAATCTAAGCAGTAAAAAGCAAACACTTTATTAGCCACTTCCAGTTGGAGTCTCAATGAAAAGTTAATTAAAGGAGTGGAACGAAGAGATATTATAGTGCATCTAGGAGTCTTGGTGCATTATTTATATGAAATCAGTCATCAAAATTAGTCATGTGCATTATCTTGCTGTGTGTGGTCTGGTTTGAAATGGTGTGTTTGTTTCCATTGAGCTCCACTGGATACAGTTAAGATACCCATTTGATGTGTTACACAGTTAGATCATATACTGAAAGTTTATTATGCTCTCTATCTCTCAGTATCTGCCTGCTCAGCATCAAGGGACCATTAAAAGCTTTCAGCTGAACTTTGCAGCATGTCTGAGATGAGACAAGTGACAAAAGTCACCCTTTCTCACAAGCTAACAGACACAGCTGCCAAAATGCCCACTTGGGGTGGTGCTGGCTGCTGGGACCTCACTTCCCAGCCCTTTGCTGCGTTTCAGCATGGTGGGTGCTGGTGGTGCATCTGTGAGTGGGCTGCTGGGACAGCAGTAGCAGCAAAGGAGCATCGCTTTCACTCAGAGCCACATCAGTCTACAGAGAGCTGCCCACTCTGTCAGATCCCTCTGTCTGCTGTTAGACACTAGTAGACTCTTAGCCACTGCAGATATCACAGCTCCTGCTTTTGTTACTTTTTATCTCCTTTTCTCCAAGAACAATCAAGGCTAACAAAATTATTTCAGGATCTTCCTTCATTCTGGGTGGTCAATGAGCTGTTCTTTCCCTCCTCTCCTTGTTTTACCCTCTCCTGCAGAGGAAGCAGATAGAGTTACGAATTTCAGGCAAGGAGAATAGTTTAATGATCTCTCCTTAAGGTCACTGTCAACGCTGTTGCATAAATTCACCTACTAGGGGCTGCTGTAAGAGCAGTGCCGTTAACTGAAGACCGAGGGGTGTAGTGTTACAAAGCACTGCATGGAAGTTGCCTGCTTAAATCACTGAAGCATTTTAATTGACATTCAGTAACTCTCCTTTTCTGAGGGCTGTCTTTAATAGAGTGAGCACTGCTAATGCTGGTCATGGGGCTGCTCTGTGCTCCCTGCTACAGCTGCTGGCTTGAGCTGCAGCAGCAGCGTGGTCTGTGAGAAATCTGCCTGGAAATTTCACCCATTCTCTGTGAAGGGGCAAGCCTGAAAACACGGCCACTCACTAGAGCCCAATACATAGCTGTGAGCATCTTCAGCTTCAATGGGAAGAGCTGAGCTAAGAATTAAGTGGTTGCGTTGGCAGTGGACTGCCCAGCGCAGTGGAGAGTTGGGGCTCCCTGTTTTTTCCAGATCCGTGGGAGAACTTTCCCTGCTCCCTGCTCATTCTAGGGAGCAGGGAAAGCAATGCAGGGAGGTGCAGAAGTATTCCAGCTGATCCTCTTCCCTGTGGTCCTTTCTCATCTTTCCTCATTGATGTCCCTCAAATCTATTGTATTTTTTAAACCACTGAATTGCTTCTCAAATTTCACATCAGCAGCTACTTGTTTGAAGGCAATATGATTTTGCATGCACTTTGATAATGTGGCAATAATTTAATTATCTCCAGCTTTACACGGCAACAGCAAGTAAGCAAATACTCTCACTATCGCACTGCTTTGCTTTCTTTTAAGCAGCTGAAGAGCTGGTATAAGGATATGATAGGGAATCCATCTTGCAGTCCCAGATCAGATATATTGATCCTACAGAATGAGGACCTGTGCTCTTAAGCATCTTCATCAAGCACATAGCTTCTCAACTAACTATAAATAAAGGCAACTTGTCTTTAAGCTGCAAAAGGACAAAACGAAAGAGAGCAAACCCCAAGAAACAACATGGTAAAAATCTAAAATGTATTTTAGATCAATATACATTTCTGATCTCTATATTTTGGAAATTTGTTATCTTGAAACAAATGAATGTCTATAATTTGAGGCACTATGCTCCTGAGGGATTGCAAAGTGGCTTAAGAAACCTAACGAATCTGGTGAGCTAGATGTAGCCACTCTTGCTCCTGCCAGGTAATGCCCCACACTCTGAACACTAATTTTTTTCCAAGGTTTACCTCTCTAAGCTGCTTCTCCCTATGGGTGAAAACTGTCATCCTTTTTTCTAAGCTTCCTATAAACGGGGCAGCTGGGGGTGAACCTCTCAGCTACAGTGTGAATGAAGATGGGGATGTCAGATATGAAAAGCCCTCTTGAAATCTCAGTACAGTTTCTAGCAAAGCTGGGAAGCGAACCACAGTCTAGACTATTTTCCATATTCTATAAGCTTTTTCATCAGTTTTCTGGTTACAGTGACTAAGAACAAGGTCAATACTTTCAGTCTCTCACAGAGGCAAGATTAATCCTATACTACAGAATAAAGTATAGCACTAAGTAAAAAGTGGATAGCTCTTGATCAAAGATACATCCCCTCTGACTTTTCTCATAAGATATTAAAAAGAGAGAGGCATTATCACATTCCATTTAACAGGTGTGTGGAAGAAAGAGAAATCTCGTAATCATTTAATACTTTCTACAGTAACATCCCTCATCAGCTTTTGCTAATTATGAAGTTGAACTTGAGGGGACACCAACAGCAGTTTATTTTCTAGGTTTTGCTTTCTTCATGCAGAGGAATGCCAAGGTAACCTCACAGAGTTTCATTTGAAAACATGAGTTCAGAAAAAACATACCATGGCTTTGGACCACTGTCTGTTAGTTTATTAAAATATTAGTCTTGTAGGTGTGTTAGATCTATTTGCCTTCCACGGTGTTTAAAAATAGCTGTGAGAATAATGGGTTTCATCAAAAATCATTAACTGGGAATTTACTTTCATTTTTTAACCACAGAACAAAGCCAGATTAAACAAGCCAGAAAGCATTTGGAGTGCACACAAACAGCTAGCAATTCTTATATATACCTTAACCATGGAAGATCCTGAAAGATATTAGCCGTCTTCCACTGCAGATCGGTCAGATCCCCAAGAAAGGTCAGATTGTTCGAAGTGGCTGGTATTTGTACCAGCTGACATGAAAAGGCTCAGTTATTTATAGTGGTTTGCCTGAATCCCCACAATGCTAGGGGACTGAATGAGATTGCAGAGATGAAAGGACGTTTCAGTCTAACAACTGCAAATAGCTGTAGCTCAGCAAACTTCTAAATTATGGCATGATCAAGCAGGAAAGTTGCCCAGCTGAAGCGCAGGTTTTAATCCTTATGGGGGTAACAAGAACCCATAGGAACCTTTTTATTGGAGGGAGTACGTTGTTTTTAATAATATTTAACTCCCTGTGTAGTACAATCCAAACTTTAGGGCTTCCCTTCCAAGTTTTCCTTATGAGCTGTGTCATTTTTATCTGGTTGTGTCAGCTAGCCACTGCAATGGTGGTGTTTTTTTTAGCTATAGGACTTGGATGGGGAAAGCAGAAACTGGGGTCATACGAGGAGAGTGGTGGGACTGGGAAGGAATATGGATCCAAGTTCATCAGGGTGAATGCTTGCGTTTTGCTGCATATTTGGTAGGCGAGTGACCCATCAGCGATCAAGAAAGAGAAAAAGAAGCCATTTGATGAAAAGAAAAATATTGATAACACTTAGGGGAAGAGATAAGAGCAGTGACTATGGCCAATACGAGCAAAAGCTCCTGTAAACTGGCATGAAACTCCAGAAGATGTGTCTTGCAGAAAGACAACCACAGCTTCAGGTTTTTCTGTGTTAGTCAGGTCAATGGAGAAAAGGTGATTTCTGCTCACCAGTAGGTTCCAAATCAGCAGGGAATGAAAGAAATGGAAGGCTGGCCTAAGCAGCCAAGTAGAAGAAAAGAGACCCTTTTAGTCAGTTCAGCCTGCTGGGAAAACTCTGATTTTGCACCAGAAGCAGCAAGGCACAGAGCAGCTGAGCTGTTGTTTCTTTAAATCAGTGCTGTGGTTTGGTGTGGGGTGCCCTTTCGAGCGTGGCTGATCAGGCCAAATAGGAACAGGGTGTTATCTTTGAACAGCTCATGAGCCTTCCTGAACAGATAGCCTGGAAACAGCCCCAACGACTGGCCCTAATCCTAAAGCTTTCCCTTGTGCAGATAAACAGCTAGAGGGATGGAGGAAATTACTTATATTCACTCATCTATTTATATTTAGACAAAAGATTAAACAACTTGGAACAGTAATGATATGTCCATGGCATGGCTCCGGCAAACTTGTAAGCACTCGCAGAACTTCTCTGCACAGGCTTAACTGGAAATGGACTTGAGATTGTGGAAATCTTCCAACAGAGTATACTTATTCAATGAAGGAAAGCCATGGCCAAAGTAATTGTTTTTCAGCGGGGGAGCTGCTGAAAGCCACCATTCTGATGGAAACAGAAGGCTATATTTTCACTCAAAAATTCCTGTTGAATTTGTGTTTCTATAAAACTCCAAGCAATTCCATGGAAGTGAAGCATCGTGACCATGTGAAGACTGCAGGCAGGTTGAAACAAATCTTTGCAATAGGATGTTCTGATGCTATCAGAACAAAATCACTCAGGATTTCCATTTCATAGGAAATCTCAACATTTCATGTTATTTTTCTGGTAAGGTATGAGAAAAAAAAAAGTAAAATCAGAAGATGGTAATATCCCTGGCTTCAAAGAGAAATTCCAGGGTTTAACCCGCTATGCTAAACAGCCCTCAACTGTTGACTGGCACGGGGCCAGTGCCAAGGTAGGCACCTGAGAAATTTTATGGAATTACCATGTCATTTCAAGTTCCCCTCTCCCACCTTTGTTTGAATAGGCACTTCCTTGCAAATACCCCCCATTTTGTCTGGTGATGAGAAAAACACATGAGAAGCAGGACCTCTTCTCCTGCTGTGTCCTTCCACATGACATGGCGTGGCACGAACAACCTTCAGCTGGTCATTTTCCCTCTCATGTTATTTTTGTCAGGCTATCTAGACAGAGCATAAACTTCTGCTTTGATTCTGGTTTGATTGTGTTCACATGGTTTTAAGGGATAGCTCCAAGAAATGATTTCTGGCCATTGCTGACTGTTCTTAGAAGAGGTTTTAAAGAATTTTGGCATTGGAGAAGACAGTATCATTTGGCTTTTGGATAACGTTTCATGCTTTCCTTCTTTGTGTTTCTTTGTTTTGGTAAGATTGTTGTTATAGTCTTAATATAGTTCCTGAACTTGCTTTTCCTTCACCTTCTCCCCAAGTCCAAACCCCAGACCAATACCCTCTGCCAGGGATACTCAACCTACAAAAATGAAGAGTGATAACTCCCACACCACAGGGCATTGTCCCTACCGGACCTGTCTGTGTAGGACAACAGAGAGCTTCTTTCAGCAGGGTCTGCAAAGATGGGATGACTCTCTGCAGGACTGCAGGCTCATCACAGATGTCCTCAGCTTCTTCCCCAAATGCCTGGACTTTTAAAATACAAAGCAAACTCACACTGAACCAGCAGTTCAGAAATCCAGTCCAAAGATTCAAGTTTGCCTCTGGTCTCATAAAACACAAGGCCACAGCAGAGCTTTCTGCCCCAAGAGGACATGAGGAAAGAGACTGGGGACAGATGCTACTTAGGCTGCAAAAAAAATCATCTCTGGAAAGAGCTCAGACATGACGAGGAGCTTCCCATTATACTTTTCTTTCCTCAGAGCTTACCTGTGAGTCCCACAGTTAGCATGGATCCTGGCTATGTACGGTGTAAGAGAGGCGGCGTGAAAGAGTGTTTTCTTAGCCCTGTTATTTTCCTTTTTGCTTTCTGCAGTATACTTTATGTTAATTGTAGCAATACATCTGTCCTCAGATTTTATCAGATTTGAGGAGATAAGCTATTGCCATCAAAGACTATTTTGAGCTATGAGCTCCTGAGTGAATCAATGTTACATGAATGAAGATTGCCTTGAGATTGTCTCTATGACATTTCAGCTGCCTGTATCTGGAAAGAGTTTCTGATCAAAACTCTTTGTAAAAGACAGCTTTAGGAATTTTCTCATGTGGATTACAAACTCTGTGGCTGTTCCATCTCAAACAAGCTTTAATTACCAGGGCTTTAATGACAGTGATTTTATGATATTTCAGAAGTGAAATGGTTTATAGTCTGATGATAAGGACTACATAGGAGCCAATAAAAAATAAAGTAGAATTCCATATCAGGGGATGCATTTCTTAATGGATTTTTACAGATAATTCTTAGTATTTTTCCAACAGTGAAGAAAGAAAATGTGTTAAAGGTGAATTACATCTTTATTTTCAGTAATTTTACCTGTTGCTCCTACATTTCACTTTGTCATTTTTGCACACAAATTCAACCACAGTTTTGTCCATTTGAGTATGAAAAATGCCAAGCATACTTCTACCTACCACAAAATGTACCTTTTTTTAGAGACCACCTATAGAGAATCTTTTCCTTCACTGCAGAGGACAGCTGTCACCTCAATACAAGCCCTACTACAGGCTCTGCACAGTTTGGAGTGATGGGCGTTCTCCACTCACATCATGGCCACAATGAAGGATAAATACGGAAGGGTGGTCTTGCATGTCAGAGCTGAAGTAAACATGTGGTATCATTAGGGTAGGTGAAGACTGCCAGTACACACAGGAATAACTTCGATTATTCAGTGCTGCTCAGCTCTGGACCTCTAGAAGAATAAATATTTACTACTCTAAATGAAATATATATATATATGTCAAATGAGTGTTTATTACAGTCTATCTTGGATAGGTTAGGGAAGACTAAAAAGTGTGTAATTGCCAAGTGGTTCCTAACTAGCTTTCCTCCATGTACAGAGCTGTTATATTGAAGTTCTATCATCTGCAGAAATCTTCATCTCAGACTCAATCTTATCGAAAAGCTCACATCTATCTAATCAGCAACACTGTTCTCCCTGCAAGCATTGGTGTCCAGGAAAGAGCCTAGTAACTGACTCCTCTGAGACCCAAGTCCTGCCCTTGGCTTTGCCACCAGTTTGTAGTGTGAAAATGGGCAAATTGTTTGTCCTCTGGGGCAGTGTCAATATTACAGCTGAAGTGCAGGCCAAGCCTGTGCTCATGGCCAAACTTGTCCAAGCAATTTGGACACAGGTTCAGATGAGTCCAAAGCACAGGAAAGAAGACAAGTTTGACTCTTCCAGACTGCGATTTCCTTTGCTTGCATAGTGAAATGATTCTGGGAGCTGCTACAAAGCAAATTATAATACCACAACCTTTTACGGTTCAGTTTTAGTTTGCTTGAAGGAGTGGATCTGACCTAGTCTCAGCCTGGACAAGCCTCTGTCATGTGAAGGTTGCTTTGATTTATGCCTGCACTTAACAGGATCCAGGTGGCCATGGAGAGCGTTAAGTCGCTGTTGCTCCCTGCTCCAGATGAATGCTGGGTGTTTCTCAGTTGTATCCAGGTCACTCAAAAAGCACTATAATGTTGGTCATTCCATAACATTGTAAATCAAGCCGCAAAACCCCACATTTGGAACTGTTAATGTTATTGCCTACGGCAATACCGCAGACAGGACTTTATTTGCTTTGAAAAAAATTTAAATGAGAAATAAAAATGCTGGTTTTGACAGCAATGTAATTTTAAGTAGATGGCATATTAAATACTGTTTATTAGGGCAAGGGGTTAATTATGCAACCTCTTTCCATTGCATCTTGTTTATAGGAATGGACTGAATCACTCCGGCTTGTTGTGCTTCACATCTGTGAGGGCTGGCTTTCATTTTGGCAGAGCAGTTATCCCTTTGCAGTATTTTGATACACATCACAATGTTTTTGTCTGTAAAGCCGTACTGTCAGACTAACGTTCTCAGACAACCCTTGGTCTGAGTGGGTTTCGGATGCTTGGTAACACAGGCATCTTTCTATTTACCATCTTCCTGAAAAGACAAGTTGTTGTAGTGAGGATAATTAATTGTGCTCAAGAAACATGGTGGTTTACTTCTAACACAACCTCCTTTTGCTGGTTTGGGCACTTCCGTAATCCACAAATCATCATACTTCCATAAAATAAGTATTTTTTTAACATCCAATTACAGTCCTTTGGGGACAGTCTTAGTGTCAGGCAAGCTACATTCTGATTTTTTGGCAAATGTGGTCTTGTTCTTTAGTATCAAAATTTAGTTGATATATCTGGTCATAGGATTATAAAATTCTATCTCATAAGACAAAAAAATCTGTGAGATGGAATTTGTTTTAAAAAATAACATTAAAGAAGTGGAAGCCAATAAAACCATCTGACAATCATGTAGATATGGACCATCACGTTGAAGGTAAAGATTTCTGAAATTACCTAGAAAGCTTATCTTGAGTGCTAGGAGCAGCAAAAGAGTGGCTGTGTTTGTACACATGTGTGTGCA